GCTCATCTTTCAATATATTTATAATTCAAACTTGGTATCAGAGCACTCCATGGCCAACGCCAACAACTCCTCAGCAAATGAAGGTCCTAACTCTGATCCTGCAACCATATCAAGCAACTTAGTTGCTCCGATACAGGGAAGCAACATCATCACGCCTTTTGGTGGGAATCTGACTTAAGTAGTGTCAGTAAAACTTGAGAAGAACAATTTCTTGCTATGGCAAAATATGATTCTGCCTATAATCCGTGGGCACAATCTGGAGAGCCATATTCTGGGAACAAAAACTTGTCCTCCAGAATTTATCCCTACTCAACTAACTGGTGAAGCTGGCACTAGTGTTGAAATGATAAAGAATCCTGAATTTAATCAGTGGATGTCGACTGATCAATTGCTAATGGGCTGGCTTTACTCTTCAATGACTCCTGACATTGCAATGAGAGTAATGGGAGCTAAAAGCTCCAATGAACTATGGTCAACTGTGAAAGAAAGTTACGGTGTGCAAACTAGATCAAGAATCACATTCTTGACTGGTAAACTTCAGAAATCAAGGAAAGGAGCATTAAGCATTGATCAATATTTGAACAAAGTTAAACTACTTGCTGATAATCTTGAAATAGCTGGAAAAGCTATTCATCTTGCTGATCTAATTACTCAAGTCTTGGCTGGGCTAGATGAAGACTACACACCAATTGTAACTCAGATCAACAGCCATGATCACATCACCTGGGGAGAACTACAATCAACACTCATGACATTCGAAAGTCGACTTGAACACCTGAACTTAGTTAGAAATGAACTTTCAGATATCAACTTGGAGCAGCCTTCAGCCAATGTCACTCAAAGGTCAGGTTCAAACCAATCTTACTTCAGGTCCCTTAGGCCAAATTCTGGAGGAAGGTTCACCAACTACAATAACTTTAGAGGAGGAAGAAGAGGCAGAAACAGAGGTGGAGGCTCCTATGGGAATGACAGACCTGTTTGCCAAGTGTGTGGCAAGATTGGACACAAAGCAAATATATGCAATTTCAGATATGATGAGAGATACTCAGGCACTCCACCAAGTCACAGAACTAATTACAGCCCCTCTCCAACAGCATTTATAGCCTTACCTAACACTGTAAGTGATCCAGCTTGGTTTGCAGACAATGGGGCCAGTAATCACATTACAGCAATGAAGGAAAATGTCACCTCGCCACAAGAATACACTGGTAAGGAGAAAGTGATGGTTGGTAATGGGAGTAAGTTATCTATTTCACATTTTGGCATTACCCATATCCCAACATTGAATGACAAAACACTTGTGTTAAATAAGGTGCTCCTTGTGCCTGAAATAAAGAAGAACCTTATAAGTGTTTCACAACTAACCTGTGATAATCAAGTGTATATGGAGTTTCATTCTAACCGCTGTTTTGTGAAGGACAAGCAAACAAGGAAGGTATTGCTGCAAGGGAAGCTTAATGATGGGTTATATCAACTGGATTCTCCTCAATAAAACCCAAAATGTCATACTCTAACGTCTGCTTCTTCGAATAAATTCTACTGCAATCTCAATTCTCTCAGTTCCAGCACCAGTCAAGTGTCTAGTTTCAGTAAAGAGTCATGTCAAAAGTCTTTAAATTCCTCAATAGATGTTTGGTACAAGAGACTTGGACATCCATCTAGTCAAGTGGTGTCTCAAGTGCTCAAGAATTGTAATCAAAAGGCAAAAGAAAATGAAATCAAACCATTTTGCGATGCCTGCCAATTTGGAAAATCTCATCTGCTACCCTTCTCATTATCTATCTCACATGCCAAAAATCCACTTGAACTCATATATACTGATGTCTGGGGACCAGCACCTATCCAAACTACCTCAGGCTTCAGATATTACATAACATTTTTAGATGACTTTAGTCGATTCACATGGATATACCCACTGAAGCAAAAATCTAAAGCACTGGGAACCTTTATTAACTTCAAAAAACTGGTGGAAAATAAATTTACAAACAAAATTAAGACCCTGCAGGCTGACTTGGGGGGGGGGGTGAGTACATAATTTTTACTAAGTTTCTAACACAAGAAGGGATCGATTTCAGACATCCATGCCCCTATACTTCTGCACAAAATGGGAGGGTAGAAAGAAAGTACAGGCACATCACAGAAATTGGCCTGACTCTCTTAGCTCAAGCTAAACTACCCTTAACATATTGGTGGGAAGCTTTCTCAACTACCACCTACCTCATAAATCGATTGCCTACACCTACTCTTGAAATGCAAACACCCTTCTCAGTCTTGAATGAAAAAGAAGTTGATTACAAGGCACTAAAAGTCTTTGGATGTGCCTACTATCCTTGCCTTAGGCCCTACCAAAAACACAAGTTCAGCTTCCACTCAACCAAGTGTATTTTCCTCGGTTACAGCCAATCCCACAAAGGTTACAAATGTTTAAGCTCGACAGGAA